TGCCCTTGATACGTGAAGCGAGATCTAATGAGCTGAGTGTGTGAGTTTGATATAGATTAGGGGTTTGTCGTGTTTTGGACGATCATGATTTGAAGGGTAAAAAGCAGGTTATTTTTTGACGGTTTAGATCAGATCAGATTAAAAAAAAAAAAAAAAAAAAAGAGTTTTATTGTTGTGGGTTTGGGATTGGTAGCGGGTGTGGGTCTATAAACAAAACGAAAACCACCTAAAAACAGTCGGATCCTGCAATTTCATATATCGCCGACAACCCGCCGCCACAACGCCGAAATTTTACATAAAATGCCAAACCGGCACGCCTACCCTCCTAAGATGTGATTTGCGAAACCGGCGGCACCATACGATGCGCGCGTTTCGGATCGGGTAGGCGGTTTCTTGGGCGGTGTCCGGATGACCCTATTGCCAGCCCTATTTTATAGACACAAGAGGGTGGAAAAGAAAGGGGCTGTAAAAATTGGGGGAGAGGGAAATGCAAATTCATAATTTCCTCCCAAAATTTGGCCTAAAAGGGAGATAAAGGGGGGAAGTGATTAGGGCTGGGGCAACAAACCCACGCCGCCCGCACAAAAAAACCGCCGACCCTACCCTACCCGCCAGTGTTTTGGGCGGTTTCGAAATGAGGTAGGCCGGGGGCTCGCACTAGAGGCGTGCGGCGGTTCAAGAAAATTTGGCCAAAAGATCGGAGCTTCGGGTATCGAAACCCGACCCCGCCCGCCAAACCCGCAAGTTTTTTGTGGCTGATCTTTGATCCTTCTTGCATGTGTGCTCACGAAGTGACCTTCCCCAATCGTACCCAAGTTCCCGAGCCGAGGCAACTTTGGTGATGACGGACACGTGGCCTTAGGCAAACGAGTCAGGGTTTCCTAAATTTTCCCAATATAAAACATTTAGGTGGCGACTCTGTATCTGGCAAAGCAGTCCATGTTTGGCACTTCTTTCAAAATCTGTTTTCTCAAAACGATTTGCCGGATTTAGACTCTTTGGTTCAGATTTAGAACCGTGACGATTTGAGAGTTCGAGCTGTAGTGACCCCAAATGAACGGAACGGGACTCACCCTCCCGGGGCGTTCAGGGGGGACGTCTACACATACTGTGAGCAATAAGTTCTTTTCTAGTGAGTTTTGAGTACTCTTTGCTATCTTTGTGAGATATTGATTACTGACTTGATCGTCGGAATGCTCCCGGGTGGACAAACCACTGTCGGACTCTTATCTTTCTGTGACAGGTTGTTGGGCTTAATCTATTCTGTCAATACTCTCCAACTGAGTTCCCCGTTTAGTTGTGTATTGAAAAATCAACATCCTCAATAACAACTGAATTGATTTAATTGGTTTTGTCACAATGTTACGTATTTACTTTTTAAGCAATGTTATAAAGACAATCTATTTCTATTATTTTATCGCACTGTTTGATTTTCATTTATACTCAATTATATAATCAAATTTTTATACTCGATTATAATCTAATTATAGAAATTGATGTTATATTTTAAACATTACAACAATCAAATTATATCTGGTTTTTTTATTATTCATTCCTCCTAAGCTACTTGTTTATTCAAAAAAAAAAAAAGCTTGTCAATTTTAGAAAAGAAAGGAAAAAAAAAAACTTTTTGAATCATACCTTGCATTCTCATCACGCACCATAAAACTAAGAGAAATTATTCAATATTTTCGAAATATTATGTGCCCATATTCCTTAATTAATCATTATTCAATATACCTCTCATGTTCCCAATCACCCAACAAAATACCTCACATATCCACTTTCTTCACCAATTATAATATTAAAGATTATCATGTATCTATACTCTAAAATTACTAAATAATTACCCAAAAACTAAAAGCCAACTCCACCCATTCTCTCCTTAATTGGCCGCTACAAAAGGCCAACCTTTTGGTTCTTGTTTGAAAACAAACTCCTTCACGAAACGCATGCACTCAAAAACATTATCAATCTTATTCACGTGAGATTTTGATGCTATTCATTGAAAAAATGAGTTTGAAACGCAAAGTTTTTAAGATAAATTAAGATGATTTGAAAAGTTAGTTAAAAGATAATTTTTTGATTTTTTATTTTTTTGTGTGTAAAAAATATGAGAGATGATGTGACTCAAAATGAATTAAAAGCTAAAATCTAGCTTTTTACTAGCTTTCCAAAATATAGCACTTTTACATCAAATTTTACTTTAATTTCTAATTTTTCAATTTTAATAAATTTTTTTTGTACTTTTTGATCTAGTTATAATGGAACTCTTTAGTTAATTAGTGCTAAATTGTCTAAGGAAAATTGTTACGTAGACACCACATAATACATTTTTTTATTTTTTAAAAAACATAATTTTTTCTCTCTTGCATTTTCTTCAATATTTTTCAGTATTTTCTCTTTGTACTGTATTTTCTAAATCTACCAGGTGAAGGGATGGTCAGTAGTGGTGGTGGTAAGTTTAGAAAATACAATAAAGAGAGAGAAACAGTACGAAAAAATATAGAGTAAATAAAGAAGTGAAGAAACTTACAATTTTCCCTTAAAAACGCCTCATGTGAGGATCGAAAGTATAAGAGATTAATCGTTACAGGAATGAGCTTCCCTTCATATATTCTCTTGTGGGCCCCAACTCGAATACATATAGATGATTTGAATTGTCTATTTCATATACTTCAGAACATGCTTATTTGGCCTCTTAAGTAGTGGCATTGGATTAATAATCCCGTGGATCACCAAATCCATGTTTGGTTGTGTTACATATTAAGAAACTACGAGTCTCCATGGGAGTACCAATCCTAGGATAGGATTAGCATTCTCATGGAGGAGATGGGAGTGTTAATCCAATCCACTTGGATTGAAACAAAATGTCTATTTTATCCTCAATTTATCAAATACAATAAAATCTCTTTTTATGTAATAAAGGCTTTTACGTAATTTCATATATTTAATTCCAACCAACTAACACCACCACACAACTCCTCAAACAAACGCATTTTATCTTACATCGCTAACTTAATACTCTCACCTTACTAATTTCTTCACTCAATTCCACCGCATTCATAATTTCATCTAATCTAATCCGCCAAACACGTATGGCCTTACAATAAAAGTTATTCATGCCAAAAAAAAAAATTAAAATTAAAATAGGATTGATACAAAGGCGGTGTTTGGGAACTGGGAGTACAGGCAATTTTAGCCTGAAAGTATAAAAAAAGCTTTTAGCCTCAACAGTAGCTGCCTAACCCATTGATTTTTAAAAAAGAAAAAAAAAAGAAAAAGACAAAAAAGAAAAGCAATGGGCTGGGCCGCACGAACAGCCTACACTGTCACCAACACAGTGTAGGCTGAGCCTTAAATAACCATTTTGCCATTGTACATTTATTTTGAAAAAAATAATGTTAGGGGCAAATTTGTCATTTCAATTTTAAACATCATTTCAAACACATTTTCTAATACAACAATCAATCCAAAAATTTAGCTCAACTTCCCAAACACACTAAAATAGTCTATTAAAATAGCCAATAAACCTCTAAAATAACCACTTCCCAAACACCCACAAAGTGCCATGGGGGCAGTAGTGCTCAACTTGCTAATCTTTCAAATAAGAAAACAAAGCCAAAACCAATCCACAATCCAACAATGTCTCAAACAACACCGAGTTTGGAAAACAACCCAGTTGAGAAAACCTCTCAGAAATGGCCTCTCAACTTCATCCACACCACCCTCTCCGAGCTCAAAACGCAACGCGGAATCACCCTCCCTCTCATGGCCATGAACGTAACGTGGTTCGCCAAGCTCGCCATCACCACCGCCTTTCAAGGCCGCCTTGGCGACCTGCAACTAGCCAGTGGCACACTGGCGTTCACCTTTGCCAATGTCACCGGCTTCTCAGTCCTAAACGGCCTCTCTGGCGCCATGGAACCCATTTGTGGCCAAGCTTACGGAGCTAAAAATTTCAAGCTCCTCCACAAGACCCTTTTAATGGCTACCCTTTTGTTACTACTCACTACTCTGCCTATCTCTCTTTTGTGGCTCAATGTTGACACAATCCTCATTCATTTCGGCCAACAAAGAGAAATAGTGATTGTCGCAAAGAAATACCTTCTCTACCTCATCCCTGATTTGGTGATAACTTCTTTTTTGTGTCCTCTCAAGGCCTACTTGAGCTCACAGAGCATCACTGTGCCTAATATGATCAGTTCTTGTCTGGCTGTGGCTTTTCACGTGCCAATCAATCCGTTACTTTCCAGAGCTAAGGGTCTCGAGGGGGTTTCAATGGCAGTTTGGATAACTGACCTCATGGTTATGATTTTTCTAGCTTCATACGTGGTGATCGCTGAAAATGGAAAGGGAGGGAGGTGGAAGGAAGGAGGGTGGTGGGACCAAGGTGTTCATGACTGGATCACGCTGCTCAAGCTCTGCGTACCCTGCTGCCTCACCACATGCCTCGAGTGGTGGTGCTTTGAAATTCTTGTCTTGCTAACTGGGCGGTTTGTGAATGCAAAACAGGCAGTAGGAGTGTTGGCCATAGTACTAAACTTCGATTACTTGGTTTACTCTGTTATGCTCTCATTGGCAACCTGCGCTTCTGTTAGGGTATCAAATGAGCTCGGTGCGAACCGGGCTGGGCTGGCTTACCGATCCGCATACGTGTCTTTGGCAGTGAGTATAGCTTTGGGCTTCATCGGTGGCTCAGTGATGGTAGCAGCCAGAGGACTGTGGGGGCCTTTGTTTAGCCATGATAAGGGTATAATCAGAGGTGTGAAGGACATGATGTTGCTAATGGCTGTGGTGGAAGTGGTAAATTTTCCGGTAACAGTGTGTGGAGGAATAGTCCGTGGAACCGCCAGGCCATGGTTGGCCATGTCCGCCAGTCTCGGAGGATTCTACCTCCTAGCCTTGCCCTTGGGTATAGTTTTGGCTTTCAAGGTCCGGCTTGGGCTGGGTGGGCTACTGGCAGGGTTCTTGGTTGGGATGGTTGGGTGCTTGGTTCTGTTGTTGGTGTTTGTTGCAAGGATTGACTGGGTTGAGGAAGCTAGAAAGGCTCAAATACTTGCTGGCAATGTGGAAGAGAAGACTGTCGAGGAAGATGGAGGCGACAAGGAAGTGGTCAGTTGATGAGGAGTTGGCAGTGGAGGACTCAGAATTTGACGAGCTGCCTGCCCTTCTGGTAATTTGAATGGGAGGGATCTTTTTCACCCTTTTTCGTATAACATCACTACCTCTATATATCATACATTCTCTTGAGCAAAGATTGTGTCAATGATTTATATCTAGTTTTGATTAAATGGAGCGAAGTAAAATTTTAAAAATAAAAATAAAAAATAAATGAGGTTTCATCAATGGAGATTTTAGACACTGAATTGGATTCCACAAAATGCCATCAAATTAGTATTAGAGAATCGCGTGTCACTGTTACACTTGAATATCTGGTGTTCATTGAACACAAACTTTTGTAAACAATTTGAGGATTTTCAGGGATGCACTATTCCATCAAAATCTCTGTGAAAAGCCCATAAAAAAATCTTCAATCCATCTCGAGTTGAAGAATTACTACATTGGTGAATTTGAATATCAAATATGCTTAATCCTCGAGAGAGCCACGTTTAGAAATTAAAGTCTCAAGCTCTTTGGCTTTCTCCTCGTTGAAGCCAAGTGCAGCCATTATTTTGTGACCAGCTGATTCCTTTTCAGACCACACACCAAGCAGCAGATGAGTAGGCGTAATTTCCCCACTTTCACCTGCATTTCATATTTATTATAACAAGAGTTTTGTTTCTGGCATGGCAGTTATTAAAGAAAGAAAGGATAAAAGAACAAGAAACTTAAAACAAGTTTGGTGTTTCCCTAGCAATGCACAATTGTGGGGGGTGTAAATTACTCGAATGCCTATGTTCAAAAAAAAAAAAAAAAAATTTACTCGAATGCAGAGCATTCTCAATTTGTAAGTTTTTACTAAAAGGTGAATAAATGCACTCGAGTAACTATTTTAGGCATCTTCAATAATCCAAGGTATAAAATCTTCTTCTTTTTTTTTATAAACTAATCCAAGGTATAAAATATAACACCCCTCTCCTAAAATGTCCAGATAGCTATTATTTAAGTCCATCCACAACTCCTATCCTACAGAAATAGAATTTTTCCGTTGTACTCCATCAGAAAATGGCCATCGTTGTGGATAGGCCATATTGAGGTTCAAGTCATCTTACAAAATGTTGGACTAAAATTCGAACAGTTACCTCAAGAAAATCTAAAATGATTCAGCCATAACTGGTGGTGGCTCCCTTTTATTTAGCATCTAAGATAGAGATTGTTGGCATCCCAGAACAGTTGCGGACTATGAAGCACGGATACTCCGAAATGGCCCCGGTACGCGTGTTAGATATGTATCGGATACGGATATGCGTCCGATACGGCGGGATACGTATCAGACACGGAAAAGAAGTATCCTAATTTTTTTTTATTTTTTATTTTTTGAATTTCGGATACGTTTGGGATACGCAAAGATACTTCAGTGATACACTTGGGATACTTTCGGGATACAACGGGGCAAAAAAATAATTTTAAAAACTTATAATGGAGTCAAAGTATAAAATAACAAAAGTAATCTAAAATAAAACAAAAAAAAATAAAAAATCAACCAAGTCCTAGCTCACTCACCTCGAAGCAGCAACAACTCGAATAGAAGCAAGTCGTTGTCGTCGTCTCTATCGTCTCTATCGCGATTTGCGAATAGCAACAAGTCGTCGTCGTCGATCAAGGTTCCTCTCTCTCTCTCTCTCTCTCTCTCAATCATCTAAAGTGTTTGTGAAGAAAAAGGCATCTCGGCATGCAAACTTCCCTTTTTGTAGAATTTTTTACACATTTTTTTAGGGCACTGAAGACATTTTTGTCAATATTTAGAAGACTTGTGGATGGTCTCTTTTCTTTAGGATCATTATGTGTTGTAAGAACAAAATATAAATTTGTATATGGTAGAATTTATAATTTTAAATATGATCAATACACATTTTAAATATGAGATGGCATTTTAAATCCATCATAATTTATGTTTAGGTGAATTACATTGACCTCTTATGAGATTTAAAGAAAATATAATAAATCTTATAAATTTTACATAATTATATTAGACTTTCTTAACATTTTAATTCACATAATATTTTAATCCCATTTTCATAAATAAAATAAAAAAAATTCTTATTATATTAATAAAAAATAATATTGTAATATTTTTTAATATTGAAATGTATATATTTTATTTTATTTATCTTTATCTCTTCGTATTATCCGTAGTAATTTTGAAGGGTGTAGACTTACTTGAAATTGCAAGTCTTTCTCTTGATGAAATAGATATGGAAGCTGTGATATTCACTGATGAAGGGAAACAAGTTGAAACTATTAACCTTGAAGACTCTTAACTTTATAGGAATCTTTCTTTTTTATCAAGTTGTCTTTTGCTTTAGGTTTTATTTTTATACATACCACTGCTACATTACTAAAAATTATAAAAATAATATTTTTTACGAATATATCCCCACCGTACCCATATCCTAATTTTTCAAATTTTGCCGCGTCATAGTAGCCATATTCGTTTCGTATCGTATCGTATCTGTATCCCGTATCTGTATATCAAGTTGTCTTTTGTTTTAGGTTTTATTTTTATACATACCACTGCTACATTACTAAAAATTATAAAAATAATATTTTTTACAAATATATCCCCACCGTACCCATATCCTAATTTTTCAAATTTTGCCGCGTCATAGTAGCCATATTCGTATCGTATCGTATCTGTATCCCGTATCTGTATCTGTGCTTCCTAGGTTGCAAACAATGTGCAGGGACGATGTAGGACACCTCCATTATGGAGGTGACTTTTGGGTTGCAGCCATAGGGGCCAAATTTGTGACAAGGCCAGCTATTAGGTTGGGCCATAGCAGACAATACTTCCAAGTGGGGGCTGGGTCACGCGTCTAACATGATATTAGAGTCAGAGTTATGCCTATGCCGAAGTAGGGATGTTGGTATCCCACATCAGTTGCGGATGATGTTTAGGAAGTACTTATAAGACAGCACAGGATACCTTCATTGTTGAGATGCCTTTTGGATGGGAGGCTAAGGGAACAAACCCACAAGGCCAGCTATTCGAATGGGCCATAGTGGACACTACTTCCAGGTGGGAATTGGGTCATGTCATGACCTTTACTGTGAATGAATATGAATATGAAATAAATTCTATGTTCAAGTTGCCATCTAAAGTGACCGTGTACGAATTCCTTGGGACATTAAATACGTGGTTGCATGAGCCCTCAAGAAGCATTGAAACATACAAAAACTATATGGACCAACTAAAAAAACAAAAACAAAAAAAAAGTAAAAGTTCAGCAAACTGAGTTGAAACTTACCAGATTTTAGCTTTTCATCAACAGCCCAATCAAGGGCCCTTTGAGCTGATTCGGTTAAAGGAGGGTGCTCAGGACTGAAATAGTACATGTCACCTTTTCCAAGTAACTTCATAGTTTCCTCACGCACTTTGAAAATTGAAATTCCATTTGCCAGCAAAAACTTTGCAGCTACATTAGTTCCTGCCAGCAAAAGAAACAGAAGGTAGAAACTAAGGTTGCACATTATTAAAGAATTCTCTATAGTAACTCTGCCGCTTCCAAACACAGAGAAAAGATTTAACCACGTGAACAATCACATGTATTTGTTACTTAAAACAATTATGCCATGTGAATTAAGATGCAACATCTGGGTATACAATGCCATTTCCTACTGTTTGCTTGTTCAGGAATGAAGATTATATATTTAGAAAATATGGTATTAGCTTATATGCAAGTACCATAGGGTCAGATGTTTCTACAGTTGCTGCTAAAACTGGAATTCCAGCTCTTAAACTGGAATGTGTAGCTATATCTTAGTGAAGGAAATGTGTTTCTTTCTTTGTTATATAAACTTGTTGGGTATATCTGCCAGGAATCGTACAAACCGCATGTTGGAAGCATGTATACAACATAACTGTTGTACTATGTTGTTTATATTCATGATTTAGCGGATTTTATCTCTACATTTTTACAAGTACATTAATTTTGTCCCTACTGTACTGAAATAACTTGTAAAGGGAAAGTGTTGGACGGTTTACGCCAAAGCTTAGTCCCCAATGCCCATGCCTGGAGGAGTTTGGACTCATTCAAGTTTACAACCATCTATAACCAATGAAAGCCTTTTATAAGCTCAGCGAAAGTGACTAGATTTTTATTTTTATATTTTTGTTCAACGTGCTTGCAAAAGAACAAAAAATTACAGTAAAAGAGATTTTAGAAACCAAAAACAAATCATGACTTGGAGAAGACTATGAAAGCAGATATGGAGTGCATTGTTCAATTTCCAAAAGGTAGGTGGTGCTTAATCCTCTCCATCCAGAAGCTCATAGCATACATTATTATATCATTCAGACAACTTTTGGCTAATTATGCGCAGATTCTTAATAATTATATAGACGAGCGGGATTGAATAATTGTAATTCAATGCTTCTTTCTTAGACTTGTAATTTAGTATACTTAATAAATACACTATTTTCAGGCTTATCCTTATTAAGGGTCTCCAAATAGATTCATTTATAGTATTGAGCTAACACAATTCACATTAAAAAAGTAAAATTTAAAAATGAACATGTATATAGAAAGAAAGAGAAAATTTATAAGGCCCAAATGACTAACCCTCAATCAAGATCCCCATGAGAAGAGCTTCTGTCCCAGTAGTGGGGTACTTCAACTTTCTTGCTTCCAATTCACCCATAGCAAATGACTTTATAGCCTTTGAAGACCATCTAATTTCAGTCACCCCAACTCAAATTATCTCAAAATCCCAAACAAACAAACCCACCCCCCACACAAATCAAAAATCAACAAAACAATAAAAACCCAAAAACATTCAGCAAAATCCCAATAAAACTCACTTGGGTACTATCTCAGTAGATGAAACCCTCTCTGGTTTACTGCAATAACAAATCATAACAATCTCAACTCCTCCATAGCATAATCCTCAAATACACATATGTACATGTGAGTGTGTATATATATATATAGAGAGAGAGAGAGAGATAGATTACGCAGTGGGGAGGCTGAACAAGACTGTGGCATTGATGGGTCGATGCTTTGACAATGGGGTTATGAGAGAGCACGATTGAAAAAAGAGCTTTGCAGTGCCCAGCCATGGACTCTGTAAGCTTTGTGGTCTGAGAATTTGAGTTAGAGATGGTGGAAACGAGTTGGGTAGTCTGTAATTGTGTTGGGAATAGGAAGCTCCGGTGGACGTTGTTTGGGTAGAGAGAGAAAGTGTGTGAGCTGCCATTTTCCCGAGAAAGTGGTGAAATGGAAAATATTGGATAGGAAGAAGATGTAAAAGAAAAATAGAAACGACGCCGTTGATACCGACAAAATTTTGATTGGGCTTTTTTACTTAATGGATCACTTGGGCCAATGCAAATATTGAATGAGCACCCAAAATTCCAATTTAGATGCAAATGGTGTAGCCCGGTAGCCCAAAATTATAAAAAAACAAAACCAAAAAAAAAAAAAAAACAAAGCAAAACAAAACAAAAGTCGGATTGGTTGAGACCAAACCAGTTGGACTGTGATTACGGGCCCAACCAGCCCAATTGACAGCACACTATATGAACCTCCAAGGCTCCAAGCCCAAAGTGGTAAATTGGAGGTTTGGAAATAACTCTATTTGGTTTGATTTTGAGAAGTTTTTTTTTTTTTTTTTTAATAGACTTTTCCCAAAAGAAAAAAAGTATATGTAAATAATGAGTTTTTCTTTTTATTTTTCAAATTAACTTCTAAATTTTTAGAAATTTTTTATGAAAATAGATTTTAAAAACTAAACCAAACAAAGGCCATTTATAGGGTAACATGAAAAATTCCCAAACAAAACAAATTACTTGGTGTTCTAAGTTCTAACTATATATATATAGGTCATGTTTGATTGGATGGATTAGAGTATGGGATTGAGATTATTAATTCGTAGGCCCAATTATCATATGTTTGTTTTAACATTTTGATTTAGGATTATTAATCTAATGGATAATTAATCTAACAAATTTATAAGATTATTAATAATGGGGTAGGAGTGAGATTATTAATCCAATGAATAAGTTATCCTATTAATCCAATTGGATAATGAATACCATACTAATTTAATAGAATTATTAATATCTCACTATTAATTTTGTGAATCAAACATGGCCATAAGAAACTATTTTTGTTAAAATGTTGGAGCTATTTTGCCATAACTATAAAAGTTGAACATTGAAATGTGGAAAATTTATTTAGATGATGAAAGTTGGAAACAAGTGTGAAATATTTTGTGAGAATTGTTCTATCCATGCTTGTCATTGTGTGGTGCTCCTAAGAAAAAGATAAAAGAAACAATGGTGCTACAGACCCCCAGTGGGGTCGCGCCCCCAGTGAGGTGGCGTGCCCCCACTGGTCGAAACTCAAAAAAACAAAAACAAAAAATAAAATAATTTTTTTTTTGGTCCAATCATCGCTCGTTACCTCATTGGGGGTCGACCCCCAGTGGGGGTCCAAAGCATTTTTGTAAAAGAAAATAAAAGAAAAATGATATGTATAACAGAAGCGGAGATAACACACGCGACGCAAAAAAGACATTGCATTGTGATAGGAACACAATCACTTGTCAACGTATATTTTAAGCTTAAAAAATAGGGCAAATTACATATATACCCCTCGAGGTTTGGCTAAATTACAAATGCCCCCCTGAGGTTTGAGAAATTACGAATTCCCCCCTGAATGCTATATTTGCATAAGAAATTAGGGGGTAATTTGTTATGAAATATAAACCTCAGGGGGCAAATTGTTATGAAAATACAAACTTATTTTGTTCCATTTTAAGCCATTGATTACCCCTTTTAATTACCTTTCCATTCATTAATCGATTAAGTCCAATAAAGAGCATTAAGTCCACTAATGGAAAGAAGTGTCAAACAAAGGGTTGTTTTGGGCATGAGAGAGATGTCATGCCGTTGGTAATGAACCTCCGAAGAGATTAAACCATTAAGCACAATGATCTCTATCTCAAGCTTAAACAAACAATCGATTTGAAACGACTCTCAAAGCAAGGAAGAAGCCAAGAAATGAGAGAAGTACAGATATGATTAGAGATGAACACAAGTATGAAAAGTATGAAATAAATGCTATCAACTCAAATAGGTTGGTGTTTAATGCCTAAAACACCAAACCTACGAGGACCGTTACACTACAAGCATGCTATACAAAGCGTAAATGAAATAACCAGCCTAAAATAGCCCTAAAGTAAGCAAAAATAGTGTTGAAATTAACATGGAAAAGCTTGAAAAAGTTAGCTACAATATTGAGGAACCTAAGCTAGTAAACAAACACAAGGATGTGAGGCTAACCCCTCCATTCTTGGGATTTCAAAACTATATTTTTAGCCTCTGAAAACCTCTGAAAATAAGTGGTAAAAAGCTAAAAAAAAATTGATGAAAATATGGGAAACACAAGAGAAAAAACTTAGGAGACAAGGTTCAAAGAAAGGTGATTGACCCCTCCACCTTTGGTAGCTTTAAACCATAAGTTTTAGCCCATAAAAACAGTGTAAAAATAGCAAAAAAAGAGAGGGGAGAAGTAGTGCAAAGAAGGAAGAAGTTATACCTCTTGAAAAGAGATAACTCCTTGTTTCATAAACCACAAGGCTTTCACTCTTAAAGGCTAAAATTTGGACTCAATAATCTCAGCAAGGAGAGCTCAAATATTGGTTTAGGAAGTGTTTGGGTAATGTGTGTGCGTTGCAAGATAGAGATAAAGAGAGAATTTCAAGTTTTTGAGCTTTTGGAATTTTTTTGTAACCAAAAACCAAGAGGGAAGGTCTCCTATATATTGAAAACATGTTCTCAGGTCAAAAATATTTGTATATAGACAATTGGTGCCGTGCATGCACCTATGGGGGACAACTGGCAACAAATATTTGTAAAAATGTATTTTTTGAAACAAGTGGCCGGCAGACCACTAATAGTGGGCGGCCGTCCACAAATAGTGGGCGACTTGCCACAAAAATCTGCTTTCAAGTTCGATTTTAAACGGGTATGTCTCCTTCATTCAGACTCGATTTTAGGTCATTCTCGAGTCTAAATTAAAGCCCTGGAAGTCTACTTTCCAATGGTGGTGGCCTCACATATAAATTCTAAGTGTGCAAAAAAATATGACTATTTTAGTGAAGGCTACTCATTTTTATCCTAACGGATTGATGCCCAACTTCTTCCCCAACTAGTTTTCTTCCCTCTCCTCTTATTTTCTTCAACTCCAAATCTAGATGTTTTAAAGATTTTTCAAAGAGTTCACCTCCCTTCTATTTATTTCCACTTTGTCCTTACTCGATTTACCGAAAAGTGCAATATTTTAAACGAAATGCGAGTCTCGGAACATCGTAGAAATATCTAAAAAAATATTTTGAAAAAGGTGGTTTAAAGGTCTAAAATAGTTTTGGTCCAAATAGTTTTGGTCAAAAATGGGTGTAAGGTTGGGTTTTAGAAGTTCTTCTTGCTGAAGAAATCGAATGTTTGCACAGCATAACTGTCATCATCGAGTGATCAACTTGAGACGCCCAAGTCTTAAGGCCGGTCAAAAATAGGGTGTCTATAATAGTATATATCAGTACAATAAATGATTCAAAACTCCTTTCAAAAATTGATGATGTGTTTGGTTTATTGTTTTGGATAGAAATTTTGAAAAGAAAAATAAAATGTGTGTAAAATTAGGTAAAATGTAATTATATGTCATTCATATTTCACTTATCTTTTTCCTTTCTCATTTCAATTTACCTAAATCCATGAATCAAACATAATATAAATTTGGATATATTTTTTCAATATTGAAATTTTTGAATTAATATTACTTTTTAAATTGTGTACTACAAACTCTTATCACACATGTCTTTCCATATAATAATGATTGAAATTTATTTTAGTTGCTATCTCAAAAACTAATTATAGAGTAAAAGAAAATGTGTACGTCTTAAAGATTTAAAGTAAAAATTTTATGTTAGATTTTGTTCAAATGTAATACTCTTAATATTTGTAAATTTTTTTTATTCATTAATAAAAAGCATCATAAACATTAAGATTGTTTTTTTTAAAGATATTGAGTTATTAAAATATAATGTATTATAGCTTAAATCAAGAATTGTTAAAAAAAAAAAAAAATTCAACTCGAACTAGATTTTCTATTTAATATTTAATCTAATATTGGAAACCCCAAATTAGGGATGGCCACGGGGCGGGTTTGTCATTTCCTACCCTTGCCCCACCTCCACCACAGGTGAAATTTTTCAACCCTATCCCCGCCCCTACGGATACCCAACCACATTTCAAATAGCCACATTAGCATGTTATCACGTAGAATTGTATAGGATCATCAATAAGATCATTGGATTGATGACTTCTCACAATATTAAATGATACATCACCATATTGTTACAAAATGTAAAATTTCAAACGGGGCAGTGTTTGGGAAGTTTGTGTTTTGGTTTTTTTTTGTTTTTTTTCACTAAAAATAAATCGGTTATGAAATCAAAAAAAATTAATCCAAACAAAATATCATATCAAACTTCATAATCATTTCACTTTTTTTCTCACAAATATCACATCCAATCATAAAAAAATTTAACTATCTTTATAAACATAAAAAAAAAATTTCTAATAATATCTTATAACTAAAAAAATTTACAAAAAAATTCACTTCTGAAAAGCGCACTTAGGCCAAGTTTGGGAAGACTAAATAAGTGTACTTTTTGTCTTTTTGGACTAAAAAATTGAGGTTGAAAATATGGATGTTTGGGTTAACTTTTTGACTTTTTATTGAAAAATGTGTAATAAAAAATTGTAAAAATTGATTTGTAGGGAAAAATTTGAATTAGGAGTTGTGCAGCCGTAATTGTTGACTTTTGGTGAATAGTGTTAACTTTTTAATTTTTTGAGTAATTTTTTGACTTTTTGACTTTTTTGGGAGTACCCAAACTTGGCCTTAATTTGATTCACAATATCTTCTTACTGATCTAACAAAAGATCTAAATTTCAACAACATTGATTACTAGTGATTATTTAGATCTCTATAACACATCTGTCTTACATAGGAGGTCTGATTATTGGGCAATTTTTATTTTTTATTTTAGGATTGGTTTGGGAAGTAGGTTAGTTTTTTAACTTTTTGATTTTTTTGACTATTTTAGTCTAGATTAAAATGCTTAGTTTGGAAATGACTTTTTGATTTTTTAGCTTTTTTGACTTTTTTTTTTTAAGAGAAGAGTGTAATGATTATGAATTGGATGTGATATTTTATTTT